CAGCTCGCTGTAACTGTCGTTGCGCATCATCATTATTTTCGCCTTCTCTGCTGCTTGCCGTCTTTGTTCGCCAATATCTTTACGAAGAATTGTCTTGAACGCTATGTAAACTTGGTGAAAGTGCGGATCTTCTCTTAATTTTCTGTTTACGCTCTCGACATTGCCACCGTACAAATGAACAATCGCATCTCTCTTGAATTGGTTTTCTGTCGATGATGAGAACATTTGGTCTAGTCCAATAAATTGCAGTTGGCCTTGGCCTAGCGAGTGTATGTAACGTGTGTAGGCAGAGACAGCGACATCAGAAACAGGATACAAGTCGTTGAAAACACGACCATCGCTAATTACAAGGATTTTGCAGCCTGGTAGATACACCTCGCTCACCTCCAGCGCAAATAAATTCAAATTCGCGAGCGCCAACGCCTCTCCCATATCGGGAAGTGTACCAATAACCTTACTGTTCCTGTCCGGGTTCTTATACGGAAAAGCAGGTAGAGCCATGGCAATGGTTTGGTTCGATATGATGAAGCGTGCGAGTTTGTTCTTGAAAGCGCTCATACCAACGGACTCCCAAAGATCTTTGATCTTGGACTGACGACGCATTCGCTCAAATAAAACAATAATTCGATTCACGATAGCATGCTGCTCATCAGAAAGGCGAGTCTCTACATCTGTGGCAGGCAGATGAGTTATCTCGTGATCCACATTGATGAAGATGTCTGGATAAATCAAGGTTGCGCTAACCAGATCTCGAGCCATTTCTAAGAGGAGCATATTTTCTTGTGTCCATTCTCGCGAGACATTAGAAACAAACGATAGGAAACCGATAATGGTTAGAGGTGCTTTTGGATTTCGAATCGGTAACAATAGCAAGCTTACAATGTCGTTGAGCTTGAAGAACTCCAAATCAAAATATGAATTAGACAGATCATCACGCGTTACAGCAAAGGCCGCGTCGTTCTCGACATCTTTTAGGATCGTTGGCATAGTAAACCATCGGCCTTCGTTTCCTTGTGGCCACTCGTGCTCCACGACCACCTGCCTGCTCTCAATCACTTGGAATAAGCTGCATCGCTGCACCCCCGCTTTCTTGCCCACATATTCTAAATCAAATCCAGAACTAGAGTATGATGAAGAGAAAACGACAAGGGATTCCGTCAGATTTCCACAGAAATTCGACGAGATCCTTTATTTTTATATTTATTTTGTGATATTTTTTCATACCAAGAATATTCCGCACGGTCTCGTGAGCCGTTATCAACAGGGGATGGCTGGAGGCTTTGAGCTCGAGTGTTGACTCACACGTTGCTGTGACCGATTTTATGCTGATGTTGTTCACATCGACAGTGTCTCGATCCACCGTCTGGTTCGTAATCAAATCGCAGTTATGTAGACCTGAAAGAGTCAAAGACAGAAAGAGAGCCATTTCCATAGTACTGAGGTTGAGTGAATCGATTACTCCGCGCAAGCGCTACAGTAGCGCAGCTTTCATAAGATTTCACGAGAACTAAGGAATCTGTGTTCAGTTCTTGCTACCTCTGTTACATTTAATTCAAGGAATGCATGCCAACACTAGTCTCTAAACTACCTACTCGATTAGTTAATCGATAATTGTGTCACTCAAAATCGAGAGATTGTAAGAGGGGACTGTAGCAGGTGGGTGATTCAGCGGGGTCTGTACCACCATAAATTTCATTTTGAGCCTTGTTTTTATAAAGATAATGGTCAAAGACTGAGAGCCCCGCAAAAATGATCAAAACTTCATTGTCTATACTATTTTTCAATAATAAGGCCAAATACGATTTCTAATGTTATATCCATAATCAACACACCAGAAAGGACTAGAGATCATATCATTCTGAGAGACAACAGCATATACCTGAAACCATGGAATGTCCTACTCGGCTTTTGGCCGGATAGAGTCGTTCCTCGCCATTTTTGCAAACGGACATTTTGGAGATTTGGAAGATATTGGGTTCGATAAAGCAGAGTTTACCCTATAAAATGTACTAGGTGAGGTTCTCTCCAACTCTGAGATTATCGAGAAAAAGGGACGAAAATAAATAAATGAAAAATCAAACGGTTATTCCACTATATTTCGGCCGTTTTTTTAATCGTATTGAGCTGAAACTTGCCATGAATACCTAATTCGATACAAGAAACACATCTATAATTAATAGAGGAGTATTGAGATACTCAAACCATCCTGCGTTTCTAGAGACTCTCTGTAGAACTTACAAATGAAAATCTTTAATGTTAAATTATATTTGAGTTTTTTCTGTTTTTATGACTAATCCATCTCTCCAAATTGTGTGAAACTTTCAGAGTTTATAGAGTTTTGAATGCAGATTACTTTTTTCTATATCTAAAACTTGATTTTGACTCTGATTTCAGGTAGATGCAGATCAAATACTAAGGCTTCCCGAGTGAACATCAAAAGTGGCTATCATTTTGATGTTCATAATATTTTGTCATGATGAGGTCATATTCGGATTCAGCGTAGGGAAAAGGATTCGAATTCGTGACATTCAGAACAAAACTTCAACATATTGCGACGACTGTCTGGTTACCATATTCAAATATACTGCAAAAAAGGTTGTCCCCTGCCATTAGCGCTAATAGACACTCCGAAATTCGGGAGATATGGGATCTGATAGAGCAAATCTTGTTCTACA